GCAAAGGGGAGACCGGAATACCAGGATATGGTGCCTGGTCACTGTTATTAACCGTGGCGGTAGAGGACAATTATGGAGGGAGGGGAAGAGAGACAAAGGACTTATATACAGGTTTGGCAGGGTGGGAGAAACCTCCAACAGCCCTCTCTGAGCATCCCTCTTCCACAGCTACCAGGGTATATCCTTGAAAATACTTTTTGTGTTTTAACTGCCATTGAGACACCTCACCAGACAGGGTAAATCAGGATTTGGTGCAAACGGCTGTGACTTGGCAGTGTTCCCTGCTGACACCAAACTGGGCCTGAGGTCCTGTTTATACATGAAGCTAGAAACCAAGAACCAGAGGAGGGCAGGTACCAGCAGATGCCCATGCAGCTTCCCTACAGCCTCAGGGAAAAGATTTGCTGCTGAGAAATCCAATCCACTCTTCCAAGAAAGGCAAGGCCCTGATTTATTCAGGGGATGTTATTTAAGCTATACACTTTCCTACTCTGCACTTTTTATCTCTCTTCTCATTCTTTACATGGTTTGAACTGGTGAGGATGGAATCTAGTAGAAGTGTTGCCAAGACTTTTGCTGTTATGTCTGGTGAAATGCTACCAGTTTGAGACAGTTTGGCCGCAGTGACCCTTTATGGCTATATCTCATATTTGTCAATAAATCAAATACTTCTGTGTTTCTGTGAGATCTCTGTGTTCAAGATCTGGACCTCCAGTATCTCCCATGTTCTCAACAGTATCCCTACATCAAGTTAGTTTATAGCCCTGCAGTGCTTTCTATTTCTACAAAAACACTTATCAGGAAAGATAAATATGTGCTTTTAGACCCATCTTCTTAACATCCTTTCAGAAAGGACTCAATTCTTCAAAGCTTTCAGAATGGAAATATTTTACCAAAATAAAGGAAAAAAGATAAAATAAAAAGATGGAACTCAGGATGCCTAAATTAAGGTTGCGCCTCTTAGGGATACATAAACTTTGCCAGCTCTCTTGGAAACTTCATGTTGCATCTCTGTTGATGTACTACAGATAAGGAAATTGTTTAGAGACAAACAAAAGAAAATTCCAGGAACTATTACATGCATGTGTAATGATTAAAGGAAAAATCCAGAGTACTATTCACCAAACCAGCACTTTTTTTGCTAGTTCTATCAGCACAGTATTTAGATCCTGTTTGCCAGCCTGAAGTGCTAGGAATAATGATCAGTTTTAATATGACCTCATAAATAATGTAATAATAAACCAAGAGGATCTCATTCCCTATTCTGATTGGTGGAAAATCAATTGCACATTGCCTGGAAATGACTGACTTTCCATTACTGTTATTTTCTAATTGCATTCAAACACAATGTCTTGTATGGTGCCAGACAGCCATGCAAAAAGTTTTGTGCTTTTTTTAATTCCTTTTTGCTTTTAAGAAAAACAAGATTTCCATTGTTGCAAATTAATTAAAAATAAACAGCTACAACCCCCTGTAAATCAATTACTACCACAGCTAATGAAAAGTTGGTTGGTGTAAACTACTCTTGGCTTCGCACATAAGAATAAGAGTAATACAAGAAGTTACAATGCTGTGGCTCGAACACTAAGGGTCACTTTCTCTTATTTAAAAAACTCAAATCCTTAAACAAGTGCAATTCTGCACAGTAGTATGACTTTCTGGGAGCAGTTCCACTCTGCTTCCATGCTGAGCATCAGCAGACTTCTGGAGCTGTGAAAACTCATCTATTTTATTCTTATTCCTCTCCCTGCCTGTCCCTTCCCCGTGTAACCAACTGAAATAAAGAGTCCCATTAAAACAAACAAACAAAACCAAACAAACAACAAGCAAATCAATCCCGTGTGTCCTCCCCCCCCCCCCCCCCCCCCCCCCCCCCCCCCCCCCCCCCCCACCCTGTCCCCCCCCAAACTAACCCGAAACAACAAAACCCCACACAAAATCCCACAGTCTCTACAGCATGAATGAAATGTGCTTCTGAACCCAAGAACTAAGGACAGGAGTAGTGACAGGATTTATAGGGGTGCAAGGTTCCATTGGTTTTGTCATTGCTGTGTCCACAGTTAAGTAGCTTTCTCGTTTTATATTTATTTTACAGAGATTTTTCTAAAGAACAAAATCAGTTTTGATATCCATCCAAAGTCTTGATTGTAAGACTGGTCATACTATTCATAAACCCTCAGGCTTCTCCCTTGGAATTTCAAGGAATTAATTTTTCACTAAACACCTGCTAAAAGGCTATGCTGTTGCACTTGGGCATACAATTTAATCTTTTTGTGTTGTCTCCCAGCACTTTCATTGCTGTCTATGGGTTTCACAGGCGGGGAAAATCTGAGCCCAGCACTAAAGCGATAAGGACAAAAAGTAGTACACAGTCAGATTTAAAAAAGGAGTATTTTAAACATGCCCTCTTCTATCCGAGATGCAGAGTTTCTCCATTCAGAGTTTCTGACAGGTAGACAGAGAGGAGTGTTTATTAAAAACATTGCAGCACATGTGTGAGCTGGGATATAGCAGTTTATAGCAGTGAGAAGAGAGGAATCACTACATGTAAGTGTATGTTACACGCTGAACTACACTGCTGTATATAGTATTAACTTGTACTGCTTTACTCACCTCATACAACAGAATCCAAATTAGGTCCCATTATTACATTGAAGGCTCACACTCAATAGCAGTTAAGCTTCTTTGAATGGATTCCCTATTGTATAAAAAGTATGCCAGTCTTTGACTGCCAAAATCAATTAGTCACATTCATTATGCCTCTATTTATTAATGCTGTACACTTTATAATGCATTTGCTGCTGAACAAAGAAAGTTATAAAATATCAAATATGTGTTATGATTGTAATTATAGCAAAAGAAGTAATGATCTCTTTTAGTCGCTAACTGGTTACAAAGCTCCTGTAAAGATTACATTAGTGGTGACAGATTTATGATCTTTTCCAAGATGTAATCCTTTCTAGCTCACATTTTTCAACAGAAGAACTATGTGATTGGTTACAGGTTATTGGCTTCGATAGCTATATTCAGCAGAGATTATTGCGCTTCTGTCTCCAATAATCCAAACACACAATGTAATCTCAACAGATGCAATTTTAATCTGTATTGCACTGTTACAATAAAGTGGGGCACCATAAGGCTTTTTATCAATATAGGGTTCAGTGTTAATTCAATGATGTTAAGAATGACCGACTAGCATTAAAATCCAGCAAATAATTAAACCTAACGTGAAAATAAAGGAAGAACAACACTGGCATTCTTGCAACAGTGGGTTTTGATGGCATTTACTATCAAGCTGTTACACCTTAATGTACAAAAAAAATTAATTCTAGACATCAATATCATACAGCTAACAATTTTCTGAATACTACGCAGTAGCAATTGAAACCTACATTATGTTTTATCTTCCTCTCATAGATGCTGCTGCATGGAACTGTTTAAAAAGAAGCAAGATATTAAAAAAAATCTTATTAATATGCAGCAGCAAGAGGATGCTGACATACATGGAAAAATGAAAGACCAGGTGAAAAACTTATAAAGGCTCCATATTTCTACCATAAACAGAGCATGTACAAATTGAACTATGTTTCCTAACCTTGGCTCCCATAGCATAGCTTGTGGCGGTACCCCAGTACTCCCTTCTTTTCCAGAAATGTGTCCAACTCCCTCTGCTCATTTCCACTGCTGACTTTGGCAAGCATGGAAATTCCACCCACCCTTTCTTACAAAAAATATTCTTTCCTAAACTGTTTGTCTGCTGTAGTCCAGTCACAGCCTCAATCGTGAACCCTTTGTTTTCTAATTACTTGCTACTTCAAAAAGCTGACTGGCATCAGACTGATTTCCTTTTAGGAATATAATCCATCTCTCTTAAATCCCCATTCAGACATTTTTCCATAAGCTAAATAGGTCTCATTTTTCTGTCTTCACACTGTATTTTTTAAGAATAAAAAAATGTCTTTTTACCAGATGTTCCTTTGAAACTTGGTGTAGGTTTCTTTTTTTTTGTTTGTTTGTTTGTTTCTTTTTCTTTGTTGGTTTTTCTGCATTCAGTGCCCTACTATCCTGTACTCCACTTTGTAAGATCACAGGAGATGTTTCATAAGGCAGTTACAAGCTCTCTTTTTTACCAGCTGCACCTCAGCAGTGCGACTCTCAGCTCAATGAATGCTGTCACATGAGGTTCTCCCACTTTGGGCCTTGATCTTGCGAGCTGTTATGCTGCTAAACCCTTGCACACACATATGTAGTTTTAGCAACAGAAATTTTCGGCAGCTTTAAGGCACAGGGTCCCGGGCCAATGTATTTTATATTTCTGCTGTACTAATGACCTATCTGAGAACACAGTGGGCCAGCCACACAAAGTGATGGAAAAGAACTAAACCCTGTGAAACACTGCTGTGCTGTGCTACTGGCTGGATGTGTTTGTAAGTGGGGCAAAAAGGAGTTAATGTTTCAGACCAGGACATCACTGATTTCTTTTCTTTTTACCCTACGATTAACTTCTGGGAAAATGGAGATAAATGAAGACAGTGAACCTTGCCAAAGAAAGTGGCAAAGACATGAAGGAGAGAAAGGAGTAAGGAATACAAAATCCAAGAAGAATGCTTTACATCTTCTGAATTCTCTACTGCATTCTTTGCCCAAATAAATCTTAAATCTCTTTCAGTAACTCTCTCCTTAAAATAAATTTACTATTTGCAGATCAACCTGTTACAGTATACTGTTAGTAAAAAGAACCCGGAAAGCCAGGCAGAATATATGTTTTCTTTTTGACATCTATAAGGATTATGCATCACCTAAGACTGTAAACAACATTATTTTGCTGAGATTAGCCTCCACAACCCAAAATATTTCACTGTTGTAACTTGTTGAAGCAACCTTGACACCCACCATAAGTGCCAATCTTTAAAACCTAGTGAGTAAATTTAGGCTGAACCAGGAGAAGCTCATCCACACCGCTACCTTTCTGGAATTAATTCCCCCAGAAGTCTTCAGCAAACAGTATGAATAATTAAGTATACAAATATATTCTAACATATTTTGTGTTTTAGTATCAATAAGTCTTTGTGACATAGTATCAATCAGTCTTTGTCTCAGTCACTCAACCTCAAAGATCAACACAGGCTGCTAGGCTCGGCAAATTATATTCTGACCTTTCACCTCTGCCCACTCTGGTCAGGTAGCAAATGAGATCTAAACTGAAGGCATCTGTAGGTCTCCATTTGTTCTCCAGGGACTGAAAATTTATGTAACAAAATCATTACACATTATATCACTCCACTTTGCATGAACATTAGTCTCTACTTATAAGAGGACCCTGGACTCAGGTAATATAAA